AGTTATTCACAATATTAAAAGAACTTAATCTACCACGTAATCAGCTATGCGAATCTTGTCAAATATAGATGAATGAATATAACCCGGATAACATTGGTGATTTTCTTTAATTTTATTCATTTCTTTTGATATCGTCCAAGTTTGACTTAAATCACCTATTAAATCCTTTATATAGAGACACCATGGACAGAAGTTAAATGCATTCGTCACATTAAATCCTAACATTAATGCCAAAAACTTCTAATCCAATGAAAAAAAAATTTCGATATCCCATCGATGATGATTATTAGTAAGACCATGTTCACACAGTTCATGCAATTTGCGACGAATTGGTTCCAATGCAATCTTAAGAGAAGCATAATTTTCTGTCCTGAAGAACAGAGAAATTGTGTAATGGCTTTCAGGTTTTAAAATATTTTTTGATCATTTAGAACTGCTAATGTCACCATCACGTGCTTTATTTTCTCCTGACATTTCTTTCGTCACCCGAGACCCGCAAGTATATTGTAAAGGTTTCATAACTGAGAACTTTGTTCACGACAAGTTTGGGTATAAGAAATTGGAGAATTGTAGATATATTACGATAATCACCCTTTTCTAATGTATCTTTAGTTTCTTCACAATCTGAATCACTTGAATCATCACTTTGCATTTGTGTTTTCATGTCAAATTCTAACAATGGAATATGTTTTTGCATTATTTCATCAATCTTATATCTTTCACTACTAATTAGCCATTCTTTTGGTAAATCTTGTGAAACAGTTGTAAGAGCTCGATATCCTCTTCACGAAATATTCGATTGGTCCATTGCTTGAACTATTTTTTGCGCCTTTTTTTTTTCTAATTGTTGATTTTCATCAAACTTTACTAACCATGGTTGTTCACTCACCTCCAATACTATTTCTTTAAGTTTAGAGTTATCTGTCAGATGCCAAATTTTTTTTTTTTTATTTCAAAATCGTTAAACAAACTTTTAGCTGCCCTTTTAGTTCTATCTCTATATAAATCATTGCCAAGATTACTAAGAGGTTTAGCACACCGTAGATGATTCTTTTTTGGTATAACTTTAGTTAGCTCTTTGTATAGGTGTAATTCAAAAACGATAATTCCAGAAAATGCTGTTTTTTTTCTTGGGTATTGTATCTTCAAAAAATTATTTATTACTAATTTATTAAGTTAATAAATTATAAAGCGGCTATAACCTTATATTACAATATTTGCTAGCTGTATCTGAAGGCGAAATTTGTGAAATTATTATATATTTTTGTTCATTGTTTGTCTATTCAATTGTATAATTTGGAATTCCTTCAACATAATCAATAGAAGCTTGAATATAATTTTTTTCTATACGTCTCCAAAAAACTTCTATTTTATAGTTATTAGGAATAGGATATACTCCCAGAAGTTGTGTATATTTAAGATTTAGTTTTAAGGGAAGTGTACCTAAATTTATGATTGTATAGTTGTAATTGCCATTTTTGCTTTTCCAAAAAACCAAATTA